TCTTTTCTACTCTATTCTTTTCTTTTTTTCTTTCTTCACAGAGGAAGGGAGAGGGGAAGAGAGATAGAAACATCAGTGATGAGAATCATTGACTGGCTGCCTCCTGCACGCCCCCTGCGGGAAAGGAGCCCGCAGTCCAGGCATGTGCCCGGCTTGGGAATCGAACCGTGACCTCCTGCTTCATAGGTCGCCACTCAACCACTGAGCCATGCTAGTCGGGCCAATCGATGTTTCTATCTCTATCCCTTTCCCTTCCTCCCTCTCGAAAATCAGTTTTTATTTTTTTTAAATATATTTTATTGTTCAGTCCGCAGGCCGACGCTCTATCCACCGAGCCAAACCGGTTTTGGCGAAAATCATGCTTTAAAAAACACGTTTAAAAAAATAAAAATAAAAATGAACATTAGGATGGTGGAAGACAGTGCTGGGCACTGGCTCCTGTAATGGAACAGACCCTGGGCCGCAAGCATCTTCCAGCTAAACACCTGGGCCGCTGGCCTGAACCCAGGGCTGATCTCCCAGATTGGGGTCTGTCCCTCCAGCGCACCCCCACCACCAGGTCGGGGTAGTGTCCTTGAGGTGGTGGCAATGTCAGCAGCTGAGGCAGGATGTGGAGGCACCGGAAGGAAGTGGTGATGGGCCGGGCTTTGCTGCACCTCATGAGGCAAGGCCGTTGCTTGGAGGAACTGTTTTGTTTACAGGAAATAAGTGGGGGTGGGTGTGTATTGAGTGGGGGATTTTGTCATCTTACCTTGTGTCACTCTAGAAGCTTCTGTGGAAGAACCAGGGAGCCAGGAGAGCCTTGAGCATTGAATTCTGAGACGGTTCTCCAGCCCCTCCCCACGCTGCACCCTTGGAGGGGTTCTAAGAATATCAAAGAGAAAGGCCCCAAGATGGTAATGGGGCAGCAACGTGGACTGGTTCACAGCCGGCCACCCTTCAGGCTTGGAATGTGTGTTTCTGATACAAAGTTGTTTATCTTTAATGGGAACTCTGCCCATCTAGGAACTTTTTCAGAAAATCATCGTTGCCACTTTAAAAAAAAAATCCTCCCACCTTCTGAGAAGAGTCAGAAAGGCGAGCAGGAGCCTCGCAAGCCCCTTCCACTGCCCTGCCCCATCGTCCAGAACTGTCGGTGCAACGGCATGACAGGATGTGGACAAAAGACAAGTGGCCCTCCTGGGGGCGGGGGGCAGTGGGGCCGCCTCCTCCCTAAGGCTTGGCTGGGCAGGGGCTCTTCTCAGTGGCCCTGTCATTGCCCCTAAGGCTCCTGTGTTCCCAGGTCTCCTGTCCCCAAGTGACGTTGTCAGCGGTTAAACTCCCATCACCAAAGAGGCCCCAAAATAGAAGGTAGCGACCGGGCCCTGGTGGGTGCAGATTTCTTTGTGTTGAGGTTTCCATCAGGGTAGAAGGTTCGCTGCAGGATAAACAGGAACCTGGAGTAGAGGCAGCTGCGGGGCCCTGTGGCCTGGCCTGGCCAGCCCCGCTCTGCTGGATGAGGGGTGTGGCACTCCAGTTTGTCTTCTCATTACCAAGTGGGGCAGCCCTTGCCCCACATGCAAGGGCGTTGGGAGGCTGAAATAAGCCAAGGATGAGGAATGAGGAAGTTTCCCCATAGTGCCAGCAGGCAGTGGGCACGGGGATGTCCAGCCCTGAGGGATGCAGCTCATCTCTCAGACAAGGGCCAGTGAGGTGGCCTGTTCATCAGAGCTTCCTGGAGGTGTCTGAGACTGGGCCCCGTCCTGTCCAACGGTAGGAGAGGAGTGGGCAGGTGGAGTGTTGTGGTTGCCCATTTCCCCTATTAGAGGCACCACCTTCCCACCCTCCAGGCCCTGTTCCCCCAGGGCTGTGCCCACTCACCTAAACCAAAGAAGGGTGCTGGTCTGCACTCTGTGCTGGCATTTTCGAGGTTTCGGATGCGGGAGAGACCAGCCTCAGGGGTGCCTGGCACTGGATTTGGGATAAAACAAGTGGAAGCTGGAATAATGGATAAGTGGTGAGTTAGGAGACATGGGGCCCAGCAGAAAGAACCACAACTTCACCTGCATGGTTCAGGGTTCGAGCTCAGGCTCCTCCTTCTACCAGCTGCATGGCCTGAAACACTGACTTAATAGCTAGTTAGTACTGAGTCAGTATCTTCTAATGTGGGAGCCATCCGCCATCTACTTATGATAACCCCCAGTTGTGACAACCACAGATGTGCCCAGACATTGCCCAGCGTCCTCTAGGGGCAGGATGACCCAGGTGAGAATACTGGTTTAGGCGTTTTTTATTATATATCTAGTATCTGGTATTCAACTGAAGGCTTTTGGAAGACAGAGCCTGGCCTTCTGCCTTGAAGTCTTCGTTGAGTGCATAGAGTACATAAGGGTGGTGCTGGCAGATCTGCCCTGTCCCCTCTGACCCCTGCAATGGGAGAGACGGAGTTGGCAGTGGTTCTGGAGAAATCTCTTGAAGACCAAAGCCCAGGAGTCCTCTGCCCTCAGAGACTCTTCCTGGGCCCAGAGATGGGCAGGGCCAAGCCTGAAGGAGGCTCTCTCTGGGCTCCAGGATGTGGCCTGAGCTGTGACTCAGCTCTCTGTAAGTTTTCTGAAATCCTCACCCTTAAGCCATCTTGTCATCTGAGTCACGTCACCTTGGCCCCAGGGACACAGTGTGTATGCGCCAGCTCACTCTCTGGGCCCGGGAAGGACTAGACTTGACCTTGGCCTGCACTTGCCTTTGGCTGAGCCTGGCCTTGGCAGTGCGAGCTCCGTGGATCATCCTCCGCTGGGGCTGTCCTGGGTCCTTGAGGTTGAGCAGCATCCCTGTAGAGGAGGTGAGGTCCAATCCCCTTAGTTTGTGGTCATTTGCTACGTGGCGTGCTGAGTCGTGAGGGTGGGCCACCGGACCGATGCAGCTGGCCACATGGCACAGAAATGAACTCCCACAAAAGAACATCCAGACCTATAGAAGGATCTTGTAAGAATTTTTCAGAGATTTTTTGAGCCAAACTGAGGACATACCTGGAAGTTAGTTTTTAAGGGATTGAGCAATGCTCCGGAGAATGGCAGTTTGAAGTTCTTTTTTTTTTTTAATTTTTTTAAAATATATTTCTTTATTGATTTAAGAGAGGAAGGGAGAAGGAGGAAGAGATAGAAACATCAATGATAAGAAAGTCATTGATTGGCTGCCTTCTGCATGGCCCCTTCTGGGGACCAAGCCCGCAGCCCGGGCATGTGCCCTTGGCTGGAATCGAACCCGGGACCTTTCAGTCTGCAGGCCGACACTCTATCCACTGAGCCAAACTGGCTAGGGCTGCAGTTGTTTTTATGCATTTGGAATCAAAGGAGGACAATAAGGAAGGTTACATGAAATCGTTGGTGGGAGATTAAGGAGAAAGCGGAGTGGGAAATCCTGGGATTAGGTAAAGTAAAATGAAACATGTACTTCTTTCACATTGAAGGGTGCAGGATAGTTAACAGCCTTTACAGTGAATAGGGATGGTATGTGGGCAACCAGATAAGTACACTTGCTGGTGGGGTGGTTACCCTCCAAGGGGTCTGGGAAGAGAGATTGCTTCGACATTTCAAAGGTGTTCCCCTAGATGCACAAGAACAGTGGGCAGGCTCACTTAACGTAAAGACTGACCTTTGCTGAGGAAACCTTAGGCCTGGGATGTGACCACCCGCCACAACCTGCCTGGGGAGGGGATCGATCAGACCGTCTTCTATGGCTACTCTTGGTCACTGAGCTTGCCAGGCCTGCCATAGGGCCCCCAAGCTTCTCAGTTCTACTCTGTTGCCCCGTTTTTGTTCACACCACAATTCAAGCAAAGAAAAGGGGGGCGTTTACTATAACATTATAAATGATGATTTATTACCTCTCTCTGGTGAACTCCCAAAAGGCCCCCACCCGCCAGCCCTACGGGCTCCCGCCCTCCTTGTGTCCTCCACATGCTCACTCCCAGGAGGGGGCCCCGGGCCTGCAGATGGAGACAAGGAGGCTGCAGGTTGGCTAGCGCCATCCTCATGGCAGAGGGATGGTCATATTGGGGGTGATGCGGGGCCTTTGGCTTCATGTTCATTTCATCCTCTCACCTCTGAGTGGAGCTTGTTACTCTCCCCACATAACAGGAGGAGACAGCAAAGACGGGAGAAGGTGGACTGGGTAGGAGATTGAAGCCTCATGGCAGGGGACGCCGGCTACAGCCCCCACATCAAGGCCTTGCCCCCCAGAACATGGCATGTTCGCATGCAGACGCAGACAAGTCCAGACAAGCTGGTCCACCCTTCTCAGATGGTATTCTGGGGTGAATAGTGTCCCCCCAAATTCATGTCCACCTGTTGGAAGTGGGGTCTTTGCAGATATCATCAAGATGATAAAATGAGTTCCCACTGGATTGAGGTGGGCCCTAATCTAATGAGATTTAGACACAGAGAAGCAACAGGAATGTATGCCCTCGCAGCCTTGGAGGGTGTCATCCGAGTGGGCTGGTCTCCTCAGGCTCAGAGGGAGTGATAGTTCCAGGCTCCCCTCCTGGCTCTGGCAGTGTCGGTGACCCCTGCTGTCCCTTGGCCTGTAGCCATGTCACCCCATCCCTGCCTCCCTGTCACATGGACTTCTCCCTGTGTGTCTGTGTGTTTCCTCCTGTCAGGGCACTCGTCATCCAGGGCCCACCCAGACAATCCAAATAAGGTCCCAATCACAGGTCCTGGGGATGTAGACATCTCTGTACAGAGGCCACCACCGAGCCCGCTACGGTCACCCAGAGCCACTGTGCAGGTTTTAGCACACCCTCTCCCACTTTATAGAAGCCGCCGGGTGCTGGGCGGGAGTAGGATGCTGCCTGTCTGGGTTCTCAGAGGTCCTGACTCGGCCTCTCCTGCTCTGAGGCCGTCGGGACACACCTTGGGGCACTTCTCTTTACTGAGGAGCTGGTACCCTTTTGGTAAAACTCAAAACCACAAGTCCTGGAAAAAAACCCAGTGTGGCCCACTCTTGCTTCTGGAACAGGGTTTCCAGGACCAGGTGATCATTCTTTCTGTCTGCATTTCAGATCTCAGGGAGACCTGGGTGCCAGTGAATTTCCAGCCGCCTCTGGGCTGGTGGCCGACACCAGGAGTGTGCAGTGAGGACCACGATGTCCAACCCCTTCCTGAAGCAGGTCTTCAACAAGGACAAGACCTTCCGCCCCAAGCGCAAGTTTGAGCCCGGCACCCAGCGGTTCGAGCTGCACAAGAAGGCACAGGCCTCACTGAACGCGGGGCTGGACCTGAAGCTGGCCGTGCAGCTGCCCAGCGGTGAGGAGCTCAACGACTGGGTGGCAGTGCACGTGGTGGACTTCTTCAATCGTGTCAACCTCATCTACGGCACCATCAGCGATGGCTGCACCGAGCAGTCCTGCCCCATCATGTCGGGAGGCCCCAAGTACGAGTACCGCTGGCAGGACGAGCACAAGTTCCGCAAGCCCACAGCACTGTCGGCCCCACGGTACATGGACCTGCTCATGGACTGGATCGAGGTGCAGATCAACAACGAGGACATCTTTCCCACCAACGTTGGTGAGTTGGGTGGCCTGGGGTGAGGGCGGGGGAAGGCGGGGTGTGTTTGTAATAACAGTTGACTGAGATAGAATTCACAAACCGTGAAATCTACCCATTTAAAGTGTAAGTTCAGTGCCGTTTAGTATATTCACAGGGTTGTGCAGCCATGCCTTCTAATTCCAGAACATTTCAGTATCCCCACAACATCCCTCTCTCCTAGCCCAGTAACCACCAGCCCACTTCCTGTCCCTGTGGATGTGCCTGTTCTGGGCTTTCACATACATGGACGCACACTGTGTGGCCCTTTGTGTCTGGCCTCTCTCACTGAGATCGTGTGTTCATTGTCCACCCACGCTGTAGCCAGTGTCAACACTTCGCTCCTTTTCCTGGTGAGTCCTACTCCAGTCTGTGGATCGGCCACAGTTGGCTTCATGTTAGGTTCTTGAGATGGGAGATGGCTCTGGATTATCCAGATGGACCCTAATTTCACAGCAGGTCCCTGTGAAAGGAAGGCAGAGGGACATTTGACACACAGAAGAGAAGGTGATGTGACAACAGGAGAAGGAAGATGTGATCATAAGCCCAGGAATGTCAGTAGCTTCCAGAAAAGGCAGGAAGTAGATCCTCCCTGGACCTTCCAGAAGGAAGCAACCTTGCCCACACCTGACATCAGCCCCATGAAACTGACGTGAGGCTTCTGGCCTCCAGGACTATGAGGGAGCACAGAGGAGTGATTGTAAGCACTGAGTTGGTGGTAATTTGTTACAGCAGTCCTAGGAGACGCACACCTAGGCCCTTCTCACTGTCACCATGGGCATCAACACAGCACCATGGAAGGCAGTTTGCGGGGAACCAGCTCTTGGTCGCTGACGCGGTCTGCACCTGGTCAAGTTTCTCACCCCTCTGGACCTCCCTCACCCTCTGTACAGGGAACGGGCCTGCCACTGGCAGAGGCTCTCAGAGGCCCATCTGAGAAAAGATTGACTCAGAATAGACGCTTTCCCAAAATAGGGATTCACAGGTGCCCCCACCCGCCCTGGAGTCCATGTCTGCACATGCTCGCTGTTCTGACTCACAGCCTCCTGGGTCCCCCTAAAGTCCTGACAGCTCCTCAAGGGGCCCTCATCCTAGAACTTAGACCCTGAGCCCTCTAGTCAGTTCCTTGCCTATGGAATGGTAATTCTAGCAATTTTACCAGAGAGGAAACTGATGACCAATGGAGAGAAAATGAACTTGCAGCCCTACTCTGTTTGGCTCTAGCCTCTGCCACGTCACGGGGTCTGGGTGCACCGCTGCTTCCCTTGGGAGCCTCTCTGTCCCAGGCCACATCTTCCTGCCCTGTTTGCAAACCCAGGCCCTCAGCCTGTTCGGGCCCCCAGCCAAGCCAATGGGATAAAATGCTTCGCACGGACAGCAGCGTCTCTGCTTCTTGTCTGTGGTGCTTCTGAGAACCAGTCTGCCGGGTGCTCCCTGGGGTTAGATTTATGGCTGAGCCAAGAAAGGACGGGGTCCAAATTTCATCCCCATGTCCCACACCTGTGCCGTGGACACCTGTACACCGACCCCAAGCCACCAGCTTCCGCTCTTTAATGTTAGATTAGGTGGCACACTTCTCCTGTGAAGGACCACACGGTAGCTCTTCATCGGCACTGCTTGCAGAGGTAGCAGCCATCTCCTGCTTGGCATCATGGCTTCCCTCAAACGCCTGGTGAAATCCAGGATTGTCAAAAAGAGGACCAAGGCCCGGCCAGTGTGGCTCAACGATTGAGCATCGAGCTATGAATCAGGAGGTCACAGTTCAATTCCCGGTCAGGGCACATGCCCAGGTTGCGAGCTTAACCCCCAGTAGCGGGTGTGCAGGAAGCAGCCTGTCAGTGATTCTTTCTCATTATTGATGTTTCTACCTCTCCCTCTCCCTTCCTCTCTGAAATCAATAAAAATAGACATGTTTTTTAAATGAGGACCAAGAAGTTCATCCAGCACCAGTTAGACCGATATGTCAAAATTAAGTATAACTGGTGGACACCCAGAGGCATTGACCATGGAGTGCACAGAAGATGCAAGGCCAGATCTTGATGCCCAACATTGGTTATGGGAGCAGCAAGAAAACACAGCATATGCTGCCCAGTGGCTTTTGGAAGTTTCTGGTCCACAGTGTCAAGGAGCTTGAAGTACTGCTGATGTGCAACAAATCTTACTGTGCTGAGATACTCACAGTGTCTCCTCAAAGAACCACAGGCCATTGTGGAAAGAGCAGCCCAGCTGGCCATCAGTCACCAATCACGGTGCCAGTGAAGAAAATGAATAGACAGAATGTATCCTATATAATAGAAGGCTAATATGCAAATCAACAGAACGGTGGAACAACAGGTCACTATGAAGTGTACTGATAACCAGGGGGCAGATGCTCAATGCAGGAGCTGCCCCCTGGCGGTCTGTGTGCTCCCACAGGGGGAGCACCACTCAGCCAGAAGCCAGGCACACGGCTGGTAAGCGCAGTGGTGGTGGTGGGAGCCTCTCCCGCCCCCGCAGCAGTGCTAAGGATGTCCAACAGCCAGTTTAGGCCTGCCAGTGGGCCTAAGCCGGCTGTCGGAATCCCCCGAGGGTTCCTGGACTGCTAGAGGGTGCAGGCCAAATTTTGTGCACCGGGCCTCTAGTTTGTGTTAATAAGACCATAAAATTCTATGGAACAAAAAAAAAAAAAGGACCACACAATATATCTTTCCAGCTTTATGACCCAGAAAGTCTCTGTCTCAACTACTCAGACCTGCCATGTAACCCAAAAGCTGTCATAGATACTGTGTAAACAAACAGATGGGCCTGTGTTCTAATAAGACTTTATTACAAAAGCAGGCAGTGGGCCAAATTTCAACCCCTGCACGAGAATACCATTGCATGCTTAGGCTATGCAGTCCTGGAGATTACCTTTCTTTTTTTCTTTCTTTTTTATTCTTCCCTGAGGACATGTTTTAGAGAGAGGAAGGGAGGAGAGAGAGATATTGATCAATTGCCTTCCTTACTGCTCCAACTGGGGATCAAAAACCTGAAACCCAGGCCTATGTCCTGTCTGGGAATCAAACCAGCAACCTTTAGGTGCACACGATGATGCTCAACCGACCGAGCCACTCTGGCCAGGTCTGGAGATTACGTTTCTAAGCGCTTCTCCTAGAATGAGCTGCTCTTACTCACTCCCCTTCCCAGCATCACCCTTGCTGACTCCTGATACCCCCTCTCCGAGGGAATACAAGAACCATCAGTCTCACGTGGAGGTCATCTGGCCCCGGAGTCAGAGGAGTGAACAGAGCCAGGCTGGTCCTGCCATGTACAGAGAGCCTGTTCTTTCCCAATTGCCTTCTAAATGGACACATCTCAGACCTTCCGCGGTGGTGAGCAGCTGGTTGGCTCCCCCTGTCAGAGCGTCAGGTCCCAGTCTTGCTGCGGACACTGTATCTTGAGCCTTCTGGCACATGGATAGCCTGCACTCACCTGGACTTCATCGGGCCATTACTCAGCCATCCATAGGCCCAATAACCAAGTGCTGTCCAACTAATTACATCCCGTCTCCTGAGAGTGTGTGTCTGGTGCACCGCAGCTTTCCCACGGTTAGCCACATCCGTGTCCTCACCTGGCCCCTGAGCCCCTCTCTTCGAGGATGGGCTGATCTGGCCCTTGCTTAGTGGGTTAGAGCATCATCCCGCTCCACCAAGGTTGCGGATTCAATCTCCGGTTGGAGCACATACAAGAAGCAACCAATGAATGCATAGATAAGTGGAATAACAAATCTATGTGTTTCTCTCTCTTTCTCAAATCAATTTAAAAAACAAAAAGGATGGGCCAGTCTGTCAGTCCTGGTCCCAGGCCACCTCTCTGGTAGCACTGGTTGGACCTCGTGAACATGTGGCTTCTGTCTTGCCTGTGGGACACAGGGGACCTGAAGTCTTGGTGGGGTAAACAGGCAGGAGCAGGAGCCCATGGTGGCCCCACGCACAGCAGCATGAATGTGCCTAAGGCATCAAACTGTCGCCTAGAGTGACTCGGATGGAGAAGCTCAAGGTGGGTGCACTTTACCACAGTTTTGTTTTTTGTTTATTTTTTAAAAAATATATTTTATTGATTTTTTACAGAGAGGAAGGGAGAGAGATAGAGAGCCGGAAACATCGATGAGAGAGAAACATCAATCAGCCGCCTCCTGTACATCTCCCACTGGGGATGTGCCCGCAACCCCACTGAGCCAAACCGGTTTCGGCCACAGTTTTTTAAAGTAAAGAAATTAAATACAATAACAGGAGAAGAAATTGCAACATGGTGTATTGATTCAATTAAGCTCTGACAAGTACGTGAAATTATATTATAAAAACATAGTTAGCCAAAGCCAGTTTGGCTCAGTGGATAGAGCGTCGGACTGAAAGGTCCCGGGTTCGATTCCGGTCGGGGGCATGTGCCTGGGTTGCGGGCACATCACCAGTGGGAGGTGTGCAAGAGGCAGCTGATCGATGTTTCACTCTCATCGATGTTTCTAACTCTCTATCTCTCTCCCTTCCTCTCTGTAAAAAATCAATAAAATATATTTTAAAAAAAACAAAAAAAAAACATAGTTAAATCTTGGCCGGTGGGCTTGGTTAGCATGTCGTCCTGTGCACCAAAAGGTTGCGGGTTCTACCCCTGGTCAGGGTCTGTGCTGGAGGCAGCAGCCAGTGTTTCTCTCTCATAGTGATGTTTCTCTCTCTCCTTCTCTCTCTTACCCTCTCTCTCTTTTCCTTTCTCTCTCTCTCTAAAAAATCAATAAAAACATCCTTGGGTGAGGATTTTTTAAAAACTACTTAAGATGGAGAGAAAGATTTATCAAGTGAAAATATCAGAGGTCAAAAAAGAATACATTTTTAGGGGTTGTCCCATTCTATTAAGAAAAATACTTCCAAAACCCAGTCGTCATCAAGTGCAGGCATTATTTCTGTGAGAGCTGTGCACTGCATTTCCGCACGACCCCACGCTGCTACATCTGTGACCAGCAGACCAATGGCGTCTTCAATCCAGCGAAAGAATTGATTGCTAAACTGGATAAGCATCAGGATGCAGAAGAGGATGGGAACTTGACAGAGGAAAAGGCAGGTGATGAAGTAGGTTCCTGGATAGATGGCTTGTGAAAGCATCAAGATGTCTTGCAGAAATCATTAAGCAGAAAGGACCACTAGGCGTTAAGAAGACCCTGGACAGGATGCCACCAGGAACCTATTCTTGCGGTTTTGAATCGCCTCATTCCTCCTCCTCAGCCATGTTGGAAACAGTCCTTTGAGGTCTCTTTTAAGACTTGCCATTGTCCTCACGCCACGTCTCCTACTGTAGACCAGGCCATAACTCACCCCCGCTACATACTTGGGCATTTCTTCTTCTCTGTCCTGCTGTTGGGGTGAATGTTTTCGTGGAAGGGAAGAGAATTGGATACTATGGTTGAGAGTCAACTTACTAAGGTTTTTTGCTAGTAGTGCTCTGAGACAGCTTGAGTGTCAGTGAGTAGCTTTCCTTGGACATCTGAGAAAATGACCCAGTGGAGGGGGCATTAAGCTTTGTTGGTGAATCCATGACAAGTCTAGGTACAGCCTGAAGCTCCTCCTAGAACCGTCGGCAAAGAGTTCAAGCTGAAGGCGATGCTCAGAACGCACAAGCTGCGACAAAGCGTCTCCACCTCCTGATTTGTAACATAACAGATTTGTCACAGAAAACCTGAGAAATAAACAGCTAGACAGATGAAAAGAAAACTACTCAAAAGTCCTTTCACAGAGAAATAACATTGTGAACATTCGATCAGCTCTCTCTTAGAAATAGTTACATATTTCTTGTGCAGAATTGGGTATATTGTTTCTGTTTAGATTGTAGCCTGTTTCTTTAAACTTACTCTGTAACTGTGTATACACATATATAAAGAAAGAGGGAACACTTCCGACCTCTTAAAAAAAAAGAAAGAAAAAGAAATGTTACTAGAAATACACACCTACACATGGCCAGATCCCAAAGTGCACATAGCAGATCCACAGTTTGCACACGTGGGCGGGGAATAAAATGTTGGTTACGGGTTCTGGGAAAGGAGCTAGGCAAAGGCAGAAGGAGTGTGTGGCACCCAGCACATCCCAGTGAGGGCCGGAGCGGCTGATGTCGGAACCCGGAGGATGGGCTGCACCTCTAGGCCTGTCCTTCGTTCCGGGCGTAGTTACTGGCATCTGGTGGGCTCCCTGGAGCTGGAGGTGAGAAGACCAGGGTGGGGATCAGGAAGCCGAGGATCCTGCAGAAAGGGGCTCCTTCCTGGGGACAGACACCTCCCACCCAGTCAACACCTGACTTCAGAGGAGACCGGACATGCTCTGTGTGAGCTTGGGCTGGAGCCCACCTCCCCAGCCTCTAGTTCACAGGCTGTTCGCACCGCAGGCCAGGGGCAGTGTGGTGTCAGCGCCCAGCTGGGCCCTAGGCTGCTTCCTGAGTGCCCTGGCCCTCTCTGTTCACAGGCACGCCGTTCCCCAAGAACTTCTTGCAGGTGGTGAAGAAGATACTGTCCAGGCTGTTCCGCGTGTTCGTGCACGTCTACATCCACCACTTCGACCGCATCGCGCAGATGGGCTCCGAGGCGCACGTCAACACCTGCTACAAGCACTTCTACTACTTCGTCAAGGAGTTCGGGCTCATAGACACCAAGGAGCTGGAGCCCCTGGTGAGTGGGGCAGGGGCTGGGACCAGGGAGGGGGGCCCTGGGGCCAGTAAACCGGGTTTTGTGAATCGTTTTATTGGCACACTCAGCCGTTCACTTCCTACTCCTGCTGCCCTCGGCAACAGGGCAGAGGTGAGCAGCCAGACACCAGCTGGCCTCCAGGGCTGGCAGGTGGCCTCTCGAGCCCTTCACAGAGCTCCCACCCCGCCCTCGGCGCGCCGCTGTCTGCTCCCTTTTCTGTGAGGTTTGACCTTAAGTGAGGCCCACGGGTCTCCTGAGGCTGCAGCCCTGCTTCTGTGTGTGTGTGTGTGACACCCGTCACCTCGTGTCAGTCCTGATGCCCTGCTTGTTCTTAACAGAAAGAAATGACCGCACGGATGTGCCACTGAGCCCCTGGGCCCCGCTGTCACCGACGCAGTGCCAGGGACACTCGACTTGAAGGCCACCTGCCCGAACGCGGACTGTTTCCGCCCTGGCAGCTCAGTGACCCCCACAGTTGTCAGGTGGTGACCTCTGTGCCCCCAATGCTGCACTGGACACCGGGGTCGAGTCCCCTCTCTGATTCTGAGATGACAGCAGCTGTGGGTCCATGCACCACGGGCCCAGCCTCCCAGAGCCCCATGGGGGGAGCTTGAACTTGAACTCTGTGATTCTGTATGCTGTGAGCAACTGGGAAAATCCACTTTCTCTCTGAAGCACTTGGATCTGCCTGGAGGCTGGAACTCTGCTTGCCCTTCACAGGCCTGTCCCGTAATGCCCCGAGCATGCTCGGCCAGGAGAGGACAGACTGCGCCGGCTCAGTCAGCAAACAGGAACCCGCCTCTGCTGGGCTTCTAGCCTCAGTTCCCTCGCATGCCTGCTGAGCCCCGTGTCTGTGCCATGAGAGGTACGACGCGGCCTGGCTCTCTCCCCTCCTCCGCTCCTCAGTCCCCTGTTCCTCCAGGGCCCCCAGAACATTTGGCTCATCCGTCAGGGTTTCCTGGGGCCCTTTCACATGTCATAAAAGATCGAGCTTCTGTTTATTTTTATATTTTTGTTACTGCTCACCCGAGGATATTTTTCCCATTGTTTTTTTTTAGAGAGAGTGAAAGGGAGGGAGGGAGAGGGAGAGACAGAGAGAAACATCAACGTGAGAGACACATCGATTGGTTGCCTCCCGCACACACCCCTCAAGGGGCCAAAGGGCTGGGGATCACACCTGCAGCTCAGGTATGTGCTCTTGACTGGGAATCACACCTGCAGCTCATGGGACCGTGGGTCAGCACTCTAACCATTGAGCACCCCCAGCCGGGGCAAAGATTGAGGTTTTTATGCAGTCGCACGGACAACCACCTTGAGGTAGATGTTAAGGGAAAGCAGCTTTTTATCTAAACAGTGAGCTCCCCTCCCCTCTAGACAAATATCCCTCCATTGTTAGTAACCCAGTGACCCTTCCCTAGAACCTGTCCTGCATTTGGGATCTGAACTTGGCCTTTCTTCAGGTGCCTGCCCACTTTATATGAAGCCCTTGGTGTGGCCCTTCATGGCCAGGCGACCAGCATCCCAGCATTGTCTTCCCGAAGAACACTGGGGCGTATGGCCAGGCATGGAGGTGACCTCAGGAAGTCACGTGCTGCCCCAGTGCCAGGCTCCCTGCATCTCAGTCCTGCCCTCAGGGCACAACAGTGGCCTTTCCCATGGCAGCCCTTCCCACCCAACCACACCCACCTCTGAGGTCCTCTAGGTGTCTGGGGCGTCCACAGAAGAGGGGCCCCATCTCCCAACACCATACAAGTGCAATTAACACAACCTCAGCTAGTCCTGGATACCCCTGGGTCGGATCCCTGGGGACACGGGCCTTGAAGGAAAACCATCCAGTCGAATGTAGCTCCTTTTAAATACAAAACCACAACAAACACCAGAACCACTGTGTCCCCTCCCAGGTCTCCGCCAGCTTCCCCCTCGCCCTGGCCAGGCTGGGGAGGCAGGGGGCCTGCGGGGCAGGAAGGGCCCTCCCCCCTTTGTGCCTGCGGGTCTTCCCACACGAACTTCAGAATAAACTGTGTCTTTTTATACCCGCTGCTGGCTGCCATTTCTGTCTCCCTGGCAGGGGGCTTGGTGTCAGGAAACATCCCTGTCGTCACTGGGGTGCTCTCCGCCCGAAGTGGCGAAATAAACGTCACAATGGCTGTGGCCCACCAGAGTGCCCCAATAGATAAACAAATGCACAGAAGGGGGTGGGTTAGAATTTCACGGGGTACAGGGTGGGGCTGTTTGGGTAAAAAGGTCAAAAACAGGTTGAGTAATGCCATAGGGAAGGTGGGCTTTGTGTTCTCGTCTAAATTACTTCCCCCACTTACCCAATGTATTTCTAACTCTTAGGCTTTTTGCCATGTGAGAGAAGTTTCCAGAAAACATTGGACTGAGTGCAGAAGAATGGTTGAGAGGGAACAGAGGGATGTTCCCGTTCCAGCCATTATTATTATTTTTTTAATATGTTTATTGATTTCAGAGGGAGAGAAATATCAATGATGAGAGAGAATCATTGATCGGCTGCCTCCTGCACAACCCCTACTGGGGATCGAGCCCACAACCCAGGCATGTGCCCTTGACCGGAACCAAACCCGGGAGCCTTCAGTCTGCAGGCTGACGCTCTATCCACTGAGCCAAACCGGCTGGGGGCCATTCCAGCCATTTTTTTAAAAATATATTTTATTGATTTTTTACAGAGAGGAAGGGAGAGAGGTAGAGAGTTAGAAACATCGATGAGAGAGAAACATCGATCAGCTGCCTCCTGCACACCTCCTACTGGGAATGTGCCCGCAACCAAGGTACATGCCCTTGACTGGAATCGAATCTGGGACGCCTCAGTCCACAGGCCGACACTCTATCCACTGAGCCAAACCGGCTGGGGCCCATTCCAGCCATTATTAACCAGCCCTGCAACCTTGGACACAGGACAAAGTGACACAAACTTTTATCTCATAAGTGAAAAATGGGAGCAGACATCTGACTCTCAGGGGCCCCTTTCAAATGTAAAATGTCATGATTTCAGGCCAATGGGATTTGGTTTCTTGCAAGGGGGCTTGCAGGCCATGCTCCTGGAGTGGGAGCAGATGGGGAAAAGGAGCCTGATGGACGCTAAGGGCCACGCAGAGCCTTGGGGTGGACTGACAACCAGGAACCTGCGAGCCCAGTGTGGCTTCCGGCCCCCAGGGGGCGTGCTGACACCGTGGGAAGGGAGACGTTTCCCTTCAGAGTGAATTAATTCCATGTTGCTTGGAAATACCGTCTAAAGAGGCCATTGTCTCCTTACCCTTTGATTTACCCTCAGTAATCTCCAGGACCAGTTAAAGAATTTGGGAGCTGTTACTGTTATTTTAATAACAGCCCTCATCCCAGTTCAGGGACCTGTGGACATGTCACCCCATGTGGTAAAGGGTCTTCGCCGATAGAATTATCTGAGATGGGGATGACCCTGGACTCCCCAGGGGTGGGTGGGGCAATGTCATCACAGGGTCCTTCTAAGAGGAGGCAGGAAGGTCAGAGTCAGAGATGGAAGAGACGAAGCTGCTGGCTTTGACGATGGAGGAAGGAGCCACAAGCCAGGGATGTGGCGCCTCTAGAAGCTGGAAAAGGCCTGAAGCAATTCTCCCTGGAGCCTCCAGAAGGATCAGCCCTGCCCATATCTGGGTTTAGCTCCATGTAACCCATGTTGGACTCCTGAACCCAGAACTTTAAGGGAATAAACTCGTCATTGAATTTGTGGTCATTGGTTACAGCAGTCATAGGAAAGTCATACACCCTCTAAAAAGAATGCTTTGCACAGCCCAGCCAGTGGCTCAGTGGTATGAACTAAGAGGTCACAGTTCAATTCCTGGTCAGGGCACATGCCCAGTAGGGGGCGTGCAGGAGGCAGATGATCAATGATTCTCCTCATTGACATTTCTATCTCCCTTTCTGAAATCAATAAAAATACATTTTAAATAAGTAGCCTTCTGATCTGTGCAGAAGTATTGTATGGTGCTGGAATGGGGCTTCACTTGTTAGTGAACAAAATCAAAATTTCCATAGAGCCTTACCTCACACCATACGTGAAAATTAAACTCTCTAGTTTACCCAGTGTTTAATATAAATTAAAGAAAACCATGGAGAATAAGAAGAAAATGAAGGAGAATATTTACATAAAGGTCTTCCCCAGCCCAAGTCTATAAGTTTATCACCAAGAGTAGAAACCATCAGGGAAAAGATTGACCAAAAATGTCAAAAAAAAAAAAAAGGAAAAAGTATGTCAAGGTGTTCTTAAAGACAAACAAGAAACCAGGAGAAGTTTATGTCATATATATAATAAATTATATGTATAGAAAAGCTTTTATTAATAAGTATATAAACATATAAGCCCAGCCCTAACCGGTTTGGCTCAGTGGATAGAGCATCAGCCTGCGGACTGAAGGGTCCCAGGTTCAATTCCGGTCAAGGGCATGTACCTTGGTTGCAGGCACATCCCCAGTAGGGGGTGTGTAGGAGGCAGCTGATCGATGTTTCTAACTCTCTATCCCTCTTCCTTCCTCGCTGTAAAAAATCAATAAAATATATTTTTAAAAATTTTAAAGCACACACACACACAAAAAAAAACATAAGCCCATATATAAAGAATTTAGCTAACCAATAAGCAAAGACCGCTCCACCTCCCCCATGTCACGCTGACTTGTTCCCCTTCCATGACCCCATGCTCCCTCTGCATTTGGAAGTCAGGATGAGGACCAGCCATCAAATTCCAGGACTTAACCATCAGTTTTTATGAACTGGCAGGGATTCCGTCTCTATCTTGACATTCATACTGACTCAGGAACTGCTTTTAGAAGCATTGCTGAGGGATAAAAGCCTCCTGCCATGGTGGAAAGGGGCGACTATCAAGACCCAGCTGGCATGGCTCAGTGTTGAGCGGACGTCCACCTATGAACCAGGAGGTCACGGTTCAATTCCTGGTCAGGGCACATGCCCAGGTTGTGAGCTCCATCCCAATAGGGAGAGTGCAGGAGGCAGCTGATCAATGATTGTTTTTCATCATTGATATTTCTAACTCTCCTCCCTTCCTCTCTGAAGTCAATAAAAATATATTTAGAAAAAGAGAATAAAAAGATCCTACCGGCAAGGCCTACTGTGAAGGAAAGGGCTGAGGAATAATCTTTAATTAGAATGTAAACAGGCCCATGCAGCTAGAGGCTGCCCTACTGAACAGCAGGGTCTAGGGTAGTGGTTCTCAACCTTCCTAATGCCGCGACCCTTTAATACAGTTCCTCGTGTTGTGGTGACCCCCAATTTCATTGTTACAAATTGGACATAATTAAAGCATAGTGATTCATCACAAAACAATATGTAATTATATATGTGTTTTCTGATGGTCTTAGGTGACCCCTGTGAAAGGGTCGTTCGACCCCCAAAGGGGTCGCGACCCACAGGTTGAGAACCGCTGGTCTAGGGCAATGCCCCCTCTGGTGTGGAAACTTTCAATAACAGGAGACTCCAGATCTTCTAGGATGGCCCCACTGAGTTCTTGAGTTTCTGAAAAAACATCTCTTAGATACATTGCAGTGGTTCTCAACCTGTGGGTCACGACCCCTTTGGGGGTCGAACGACCCTTTCACAGGGGTCGCCTAAGACCATCCTGCATATCAGAGATTTACATGACGATTCATAACAGTAGCAACATTACAGTGATGAAGTAGCAACGAAAATAGTTTTATGGTTGGGTCACAACATGAGGAACTGTATTTAAAGGGCCAGACGGTTGAGAACCGCTG